GGCTTTTCCACCAATATCCTATATGTATTATTCTCCTCCCCCATTCGTGCTACTTGCCCTGCCCATCTCATCCCCATTTACTTCATCATTCTAATTATATTTGGTGAAAAGATTAAGTTATGAAGCTCCTCATTATGCAGTTTTCTCCAACCTTCTGTCACTTCATCTCTCTTCAGTTCAAATATTCTCCTCAGCACCCTGTTCTCAAACATCCTCAGTCTATGTTCCTCCAAGTTTCCCACCCATACAGAACCACAAGCAAAATTATAGTTTTGTGTAGTCTACTTTTTACGTTTTTAGACAGATGAGAAGACAAACGTTCTGGATTCAATTGTAGCAAGCATTACCTGAATTCAATATCCTCTTAATTGTCATTTCTAAATATCTGAACTGTGCCAAATTTTTAAAACATCTGTTGCTATCTTTGTCGTAATTTTGCCCTACATTCTGGTGATGAGAAAGCAACATATACTTAGTTTTCTCTGTGTTTACTTCTAGACAGACCTCCTTAGTAGAGTCAATTAAAGTTTATGTATTTTCTTTATGGTATCTATGTTATCACTAGGGACCGGATTTTTATGCCCTAATAATCCCTTAAATATGTATGCATTTATGCATGAAAAACTTCCAAAATATGCACATAAAAATTTATACCAAATATTAAAATTAATTTTACATTATTTTAAGACCAACCAATATTTAAGTTCATTTTATGTAATCACTGAATGATTCACTTGTAATAAAAAGCTATACTTAAATACAAATCATGCAACAAAGCCAGTATTTCATTAAAAATTTAAAAACCAAAGGTACTCACATTTAGCTCTCCGAACTTTCAACTTCTCTTCTGTTGCAGTTCACAGTTACTAAATATTTTAGGTTTTCCATAGTTAGTTGCCTCCTATTGTCTCGTAAGATGTCCTTATAGCAGGAAAAACTTCTTTCCACCTCACAGGAACTTAGGGGTGCATGTAGAAAAGCCGCTATTTGTTCCACTGTTAGTGATTTTTTACTTGGCAGTTCATTACATTTGCAGGCTAAAATTTCTTCAATTTCACAAATTTGTTCACATCCTGGATATTTTTAAAGAATGCTGTGTACTTTTTCCTTTACTACTTCACCAACTCTTCCAGGAACCGAATTCAATTTGGAAACAGTGGTTTTGAACACACTTAACGACTGATACAAAGTAGTATTCCTATTGCTTGCCTCCAGTGAGGAAATGGAGGATGGAATATGAGAGAAGTGAGCAGATACATAGGAAAGATTAGTTTCTAGATCTGTGTTTCTAGTACATCTTGGCTAATATGAATTGATGCTGCACTTTTGGGATAAAATGTATTCACGACATTCCTAACTGTTTCTAAATGTTTGGTATAATAACTCGCTGCACATAGCCACGTGCCCCAGCGCATTAAAATTGGTTCTGGCGGAAGTGGAACACTCAGTGCTACTGCTTTAAAAGCTTCTTTTCTGTATGGCACTTTAACAAATACCTTCTTCACAAAAGACACCAACTTGTCAACAAGTGGAAATTTTGCACGAATTGTTTCTGCAACACTGTGCAACCCAATGGGCAAGGCAAGTCAAATGTGTCATATTTGGAAATATAACTTTAAGAGCAGTAGTGGCTTTCATCATATAACTTGCGGCATCAGTTACAAAGAGCAATACGCGCTCATACTAAATGCCATTCGGCGAAAGTAAATTAATAGAATTTATAAAAAATTTGGAAACTGCAGAGCTAGATTGGTTAGTTTCCACAGTGGAATATCTGCCGCTAAAAAGGCTTCGCGTAAATCAAAGGAAAACTGTGAAAAACTATTATTAGAAAATTCACTAACCAATTTTTGAACAGGAGCATTTTCGTGGATTTAATATTAATATTCTCTTTGTGTATATTAGTGTTCAAATGCTGAAGCACTTGAAAGCGTTTTTCACAACCATTTTCTCACACGCTCGGTAATAAAGAATTTCTTTAGCCATACTTATCATTGCTCCTTCGAACTCCCGCTGATACAGTTGTAATTTAGTTCTCTGACTTTCACTTTCAGCATGACTACAGAAAGCTCAACAAACTTAACTACAGACTAGTCACCACTAATGTGAATGGCCCCCAGCTTCAAATGAAGAAGCGTAATGAACGTCATGGAGACTCTGGAAATAAGTGAAGTCCCTTATTGGTTGAATAGTATGTTGATACGGCTAAATGTGAACGCTTCCGACTAATCTGTTCGCGGCCACTTTGATGGTACGTGGGTGAGACAAGTTACGAGTAGAGGGATCGGGGAAGTCCCGTCCTGGGTATTGCATCAGAAACATGAGTCATGCCGAAATGTTGAGTCAAATATGCAACATATTCTAATACGGAAAAGAAAAATTGTATACACACGACCATGATTGAAAATTAAAAAAAATATATATGATAACCATTTTAAAAAGGAAATATGCAGTATAAATAGAGATCTTCGAAAATATGATGTTTATTCATAAAACAGGTAAAATATGCATTTATATGCACCATGAAACCATGTCCAAAATTTAAAAAATTAAGTAATTCATACATATATCCAAACGAGCATTCTTTCTGTTTGCAAGAAACAAATGTGCATTTGCATTAAAATCCGGTCCCTAGTTATCACCCAGTAGATTCACATCAGCAGTACTGACCAGCAGCTGATGTGTCCCATTTCATATCAGTCCAACTTAGTTTTCCTGGACCTTCCTAATGGCATATTCCAAAGCAAAGCTGAAAGTGGTGATAGAGCATCTCCTTGTTTTAGACCATTCTGGATAAGAAAATTATCAGACAAATGTTTACCTATACAGACTTTACATAAGTTTCGCATAAATACATTTTAATCATCCTAGCCTGTTTCATGGGTATCCAAAACACTATAAGAATACTACAAAATAATTCCCTTCTGTGTGAATTATATAATTTTTTGAAGTCTACAAATAGCTGATGTACTGTCTTATTGTACTCTAATTTTTACCCAGTATTTGACAAATGTAAGAGATCTCATCAGTAGCCAATTTGTTACACTGATGATCCCCAATAATTTCATCTATACATGGACTAAACCTTGAGAGAAGAATACTGGATGAAATTTTATATGAAGTTGATGGCAGTGATATCCCACGATAATTACTATAGTCAGTTTTATCACCCTTCTTGTGAACTGGTATAACACACTCCTTCCACTGATCAGACAATTTTTCCTTATGTCAAATAGAAGTAATTAGCCTAGGAATCTAAGAACGTAATATTTTGCCTCCTGCTTGAACGAGTTCTGCTGGAATTTGATTTATAACTTCAATTTTGCAATAGCAATTTCAACCTCAAAAGGCCTAGGATCAAGTACTAACGGATCAGCTATATAAATTTCTGTCTGCCTAACATCACTGATCCTATGTACATTCAATAACTGAGAGAAGTAATTTTTCCACATATTCAAAATGTTGTGAGAATCTCCAAGCAGATCACCATTCTTATCCTTCACTAAGTTACTTCTAGGCTGATAACCTCTTTTTAAAGTCATTTATTTTATTCCTAAAATTCCTTCACTTCTATATTGTTCAGGTTATCCCTATTTATTTTGCTTGGATCTTGTAACCACTGCCATTTGGCTATGTACACCATTAGAAAATACGTTCTTGATCAGACAAGAAGCTATAAATGCATTTTCTCCTGCAACCCATGGGTACTGGCAAAACTGTGGCCTCTTAAGTCATCTTTGAGGGGCCAAACAGACGGAACCCTTGTGGGGCAATGCCAGTGCTTTATGGTGGACTATCTCTAGTGATTGGGCCCAAATGAGTATGATTCTAACTTGCAGACAGACCCAGAGTCCAGTCTCTGGAATGTTGTTTCAAATAAAAATAGGGCTATGGAAAATGTCCAGAAAGTCACTCATTGTATGGTGGATGTTCTAAGGCTCCAAAGAGTAGCTGCCAGAATGTTTCAGCAGTATCGGGACAGGCACTGTCAAGCAACCACATAAAAGCTTTGACTCCTGTCCTCAGTATTTAACCCAATTGCTGATAGCAGCTTGTCATGCAGCATCTCAATGTAACATGCACTGTTCATTTCCTGATAAGAGCTCAAGGATTGGTCTCAGTGAATCCCAACTCAGTGTGAGCAGAATTCTTCAGACCGAGATCTGAACTTCTTTGTGACAAAGGATCTTAGACATTTTCATTACCTGCTCTGACATTTGCTTTTAGGCTCATAATGGTAGTTCCACATTTTGTCACCAGTGACAATGCAACTTAAAAAAGGCCTCATATTCCTTATACCAGCTGAACAGGTAGTTACAGATATACAAATGATTAAGCCTGTACAGTTCTCTGAGCTGGTTTAGGACCCAGCTTCCACAGATTTTACACAAATTAAATCTGTGGTGAATGATTTCATAGCAGATTACAGACTAATCCACAGTTGGTTTTGCACTTAAACAGCTGCCCTCCTACTGTCAACAGTTAGAGAATAGACTTATTCAATATTCCCTTCAGCAGTCTGTACAGATTTGTACACTGACTGTTCATCAGTGATTCATGTTCGACAATTTTAAAACACACCAATCTGTTAATATACACTTTGCTGTGGCAAAACACTGTCATCATACTACACTGATAGTCAGTCCACAAAAAATGAATCACTACATGCTGCTCTTCTGTAGTGCTGGGGTAAGTGGAGTGGCTGTGCTAATGGCAGCAGTGATGAAAGACAACTGAATGGTAAAAGTCAAATATGTCATTACATTAGTTAGGTCCCATGCTTACACCTCTGTGTGCATCAGCATGTGGGCCTATCACGAGAGAAGATATTGCGATTTTGCTGTTACTTTCTAAATTACCCTTGTAATAAAAGACTTCTAAGCATAATTACAACAGACCGCCTCAAGACAGGAGTACAGTCAACTACTACAATTTTACACTTGTATTAACCACTGTCACAAGCCTTCAAAAGATCATCTTTTCTCATGCAATGTACATACCTGAATGGGTTGTGCCTTGTGTACTCTGCCCATCAGACTCCTCCACCTGCCTGCAATAAAAGGCAATGAATGTACAGAATCTGGAACAGTGCTGCTGCACAGCAGCTCCCGGACATTAAAAAGCTCAGTCATTTGCCATCATATATTGAATAATCTCTTCATAAATGAGTGAAACTAAATTACATTCATCAGAGACCTTTTACATAAAACATACTGTTTAATAATCAGTATGTATTAAAAGTGAACAACAAATTTTATTTCCAAGACTTCAAAAGGTGTTCTATCATTAGAAATAAAGTAGTCTGGCCTGTTGGTGTTAATATATTGCCATGTATTAGGGTTTGCACGATGAATAACTGTGGGTTCCAGATTTTATGATTGGACTTACTGGACATGTCCATTACAATTACACTTGATTATAACAGTTCACACACTGAACTCCTTGATAACAAATCTCTCACTGTTGTCCGGATCTTGCACTGGTGTCTAATGTGCTTCTAATTGGTATGACTTTCCAGTATGACTCGTTGCTTTGTCTGGCAAATTCCTTTCTTTCCACAACTTCACGACAACCATAGAAAAAACACCATCTACAACAGTTTGTTGTAATCTGCATATGTTGTCACAGTAATCCGTGCATTCATTCATTGCTGCAGGAACAATGTTTACCTAGCTGTTGTCTAGCAACAGATGTCTCTGTTGTGCTTCTCTGTCTGCATACTTCTGGATTACATTTACTTAAAATAAGGGAAATCAAGCAATTAAATTAAGTATGACATTTTGTGTTTAAACTGCAGATATAGGACACACTGATTATTATAGCTATATTTATAGGGGTATGATGTACAGTTTCAAATAAAATTACTTCTGCATTGCAATATAAATGCATCAAATAACAACCAAGTTAAGAAATGCATGATCACCATAAAAATTCTGGCATGTCAGAATCCCTGTTTAGGCTCATATGTGGCTGTGTCATATCAGTAAATGTCACTTCTTTCAAATTTTGAATTCCTGCTATAATAACTTATTTAGATAAGGTAAACTTGATATCGGTGGCTCAGACAATATGGCATTCAATAGTAGGACAATTAGCAAATAATGAACAGGAAAGGATGTAAAAGGAAGCATTCAAAATCTAACTTAAAATAATACCCCAACATCTGTCTGTAAGAACCAAGGAAAACTCTAGCCTGAGATTTAAACCTAGAACCTCCAAAGTATAAAGGAGATACCTAACCACTACACTGTGGTGTTCAGTGTACTACATAACCAAGACTGTAGGATGTAGAGGACTAAATTCTGCCCATTTCTCTCCCTTCTATAGTGTGTACAAGCTCACTAAATTTCATCAAAATTTGAAAGGGGCTGAATTTAAATATGAACCATAATGCCCTGAAAGATTCCTGCAGAACATTCTGACAAGGATTAAGAAGTATTTAAAAGCAAAGAAGAATGCCTAAATTTGAAAATTAGGGCATCAGACAAAATCAGAAACATATTCAGGAACACTGCTCAAATTAAAGATAGAGCAGATTAGGTAAGAAGAGGATATATCTGAATGAAACACCATTATGAAGATCATGGACAAGGAGCAGCACCTAATTGAGAGAAAACAACAGCTAATATTGTGACATATAGATCCATTGCTAAGAGCTCACTCTGTAAACATCAGCTGTTGCCAGGTAATGCTTGCACACACCAATAGAGGAGGTGCCAAGATACGTGATGTGTACACTTGTTCCTATGCAGAGCCCAAAGCATACATGTGCATCATGACATCACACAACAATAGAAGAGGTAATGCAGGCAGTGTTCTCGGTGGGTCCGCTCCGAGGTTATATGACTCGACCGACCACTTTCTGTTGAGGGAGTGAATGCAGTAGAGTTGAGGGTTCAGTTGTTGAGTGTTAACTAGTGGGCACCAGAAACAGAAGAATCTCCATTGCTAAGATTCTTTACCAGGAAACATCTAGTGAAGACACTACAGAGGAATATCCATTGTGGAGGGCAGTTAAGAAGTAAAGACTAGTGAAAGTAGACTGAGAAAGCTTAGTGTGGAGTGATTTGTAGTGTGAAAATCAGCAACAGCATTACAGTTATTTGTAGTTATGACCTGTAAGTGGTCAATAAATCTATTCACCAATCGACATGACAATATTTATTACAATATTATATTGTATAATACGATGGGCTGTTTTTTAATCTGTTGTTTAACACTGTAGTTACTTTGTTAAAGTTGTAGGTGTTGAATGTTTTATGTGAATGTGCAGCACTGAACACACACTATCTGTTCACATGTTTTCTTGTTCTACTATTCTTCCTGGGATGGCTGGGCCTGAGTTCTTGCTAACATTGCTGATCATATGGAGCAGAAAATGGTTTTGTTGATTTCACACATATTCTTACAGGCTAGTTGCATTCAGTAGGGTCCAGACCAGTTCGGATGCCCAGCTAGCCTCCTATCCAATGGATACTGGGGTCTCTTTAACCAGGGATAAGGCAGCCAGGGTATGCAGCTGACCACAACAACTAGTACCAAGGTCAAGAGAACGTGGATCTATGCATTCATTCCCTCATACACCTTCATGGCATAGTGCTTAATTAGTTATGCACAGGGACAACTATATATGCTTTTAGGTGTTTCATTTTTACAGGAATATAATATATACAATATAATTTAAAGCGACTTACATAATAGGATGTAACAAAATATCAGAAAAAAACAAAGACAGGAAAGGGCTGCACTATACGAGGGGGTACCCAAAAGAAACCAAACTAATTTTTTTTAAAACTTATTTATTCAAATTTTAAGCACAAACCTTCAATCCCCTTCAAAGTACTCTCCACTTACACTAATACACTTGCCTAGTCTTTTATTCCACTTCTCAAAACAGTTTTTAAATTCATCTTTTGAGATGCTTGACAGCGCCTCCGTCGTTTTTTCCTTCATCTCAGCAACATCAGCAAAACGCTTTCATTTCATGTCTCTTTTCATTCAAGGAAACAAAAAAGTTTTGATCATTTCGGGACTTTTCTTTCAAAGCACAGCATGCTTCCATGCGACCTTGTTTTTGTTCAGTAGTCGTGGCACGAATTTCACAGCCACCCTTTTCATTCCCAAATCTTCTGTCAAAATTCGCTGAACTGAGCTCCAAGTAACTCCCGACAGCTCCACAATTCCTTCAATGGTCCGTCGATCTTCCTTGATGATTTCACGAATTTTTTCAACATTTTCATGTGTTCGGGCCGTGGAAGGATGACCAGAACGAGGTTTGTCATCAATTGACATTTCATCATTTTTTAAACGGGAAAACCACTCAAACACTTGAGTTTTCCCCATAGCATTGTCCTTGTACGCCGTTTTTAACATTTCAAGAGTTTCTGTTCCACTTTTCCCAAGCAAAAAGCAGAATTTCACCGCCGCACGCTGTTCACGAAAATCAGCCATTGCAAAAACGACGATCACACAAAACAGTTGCCATTATAAACTCTGCCAAAACTACTCCTTACCTTCTGAAGCAACGGTAGTCGGCTTATCGACTCAGGAATGTTAGCTCTATGCGCTCATAGCGGCAAAATGCGGTACTACAAAAGCTCTGCCCACAAAAAAATTAGTTCGGTTTCTTTTGGGTACCCCATCGTATATTGCAGTATACAAAATTTCCAACTGTGTTCTTTGCAGTTTATTAAACTTCCTTCTAGCTAGTTTAGAAATCACATTTCACATCACCAATAATGTGACTTGATGGCTGAAAGCCAGAATAGCTTAACAAGAAAAGTCTTCCACTGCTAAGCAATGGCAGTAGACATGTTTCCATGATGACCAAAACATGCTACCTCAGCAATAGAAACACACACAACAGTAGAAGAATTAATGGACACAGCGTCTTCTGCGCGATCCATGCTGAGGCTATATAACAAGGACCAACAGGATAAGCAATAACCAGTGAATGAAACACCATTATGAAGATCATGGTCAAGGAGCAGCACCCAGTTGAGAGAAAACAACACGTAATATTGTGGCACATAGACGCAGTCACTCTGTAAACATCAGCTGTTGCTATGTAATGCTTGCACACAACAATAGAGGAGGTGCCAAGATACGTGATGTGTACACTTGTTCCTATGCAGCGCCCAAAGCATACATGTGCATGGTGACATCACACAACAATAGAAGAGGTGATGCAGGCAGTGTTCTTGGTGGGTCCGCTCCGAGGTTATATGACTCACCAATAATTTGACATGATGGCTGAAAGCCGGAATAGTTTAACAAGAAAAGTCTTCCACTGCTAACCAATGGGAGTAGACATGTTTTCATGATGACCAAAACATGCTACCTCAGCAACAGAAACACACACAACAGTAAAAGAATTAATGGACAAAGCGTCTTCTGTGCGATCCATGCTGAGGCTATATAACAGTGACCAATAGGACAAGCAACAACTAGTGAAGGCTAAAACAGACCGAGACTTGGCATGAGCGATAGTGATTTTTGAAGTGTGTAGATTAGGGTGTTATAACCCTCAGTAGTTACGAGTTATGTGTTCTATAAATCCAATTATCAATCCAAACCCCATGTCTAGTCAGTAACACATGAAAACATCCATCAGATAAAATGAGAAAGTTAAACAACATAATAATGCATGGCATATAAAACAATGTGTAAAATGGTTTATGGTGATACATCTCTTCCAACTCACCTTTGATGTTGACAGCTTGGCCAGAATTGTGCCATCCTTACTACACCATTCTCTACCTTCGGACAGGGATAATGATGATGTGGGGGAATAATTGATAAGGTTTAATTATTTAGGTTGTGCGCCACTGTAAGTTGTGTTTACAGAAATAATGGAAGGTGGGTAATGATGTACGAATTCATCATATGATGAGCTAAGTCATCTTCAATGCTGATTCACTTCTATTTCACTTAATTTTGCCCCACCACATTACTGTAGTAATTAACTGTGTAACTTATAACAAACGCCTTTCCTTTGCTGAATTCAGTAACTAATTAATATTTATGTCCTTTCAATAAATTACTGAACAAAACTGAATGAGCTAAATGAAAACTTAGAACTCCTTTGTGTATGTGATTTACAAGGCGGAAAATGCAGAGATGACATCTGTATAAAGCTGCTGGTGAGAAGTGAGAAGCTTGGAGACATCTTACACCCCTCCACACTGGAAACTCAGAACTCAAAAGTTCTCCCTGGAGCAGATTGAAATGTGCCATCCTATAAAAGGTTAATTAATTCTGTCCACTGTGACTGATGAATTTTCTTTCCTTTTTAATCTTTTATCATTTACATTTTTCAGTATTATAGACCATCTTCAGAAGGATATCAGTACAATTAGAAACCACATATTTTGTGAATATTAATATATACATACAATGTTATCATAATACAATGAGTACAAATCTACTGTATTTAACAATTACAGCGGCTTGTACTAATACGTTAAAATATGAGTATTTATAAATTATAATTAGTATGTTTAAAATTATTTTGTTAAAATTTTTTAAACCAATTTGGTTTAAAAAATTGTAATTTATAAATACGTGGTGCAATCCAAAAGTTCCCAAAATATATTAATAAAAACTATTACATCTTACGTAGATCTTATTCTGCACCATCACCTTCAAAGTAGTCCCCTTGGGAGCGCATACACAGATCCCAGTGTTTCTGCCACTTTTCAAATGCATCCTGGAAGTCTTTCTTTGTTAGGGTGTTTAGTATTGTCTGCGTTTCTGCTTGAATTTCCTCAACTGTATCAAATCTTCGCCCTTTCAACTTGATTTTCATCTTGGGGAAGAGAAAGAAGTCACATGAAGCTAAGTCTGGCGAGTATGGTGGGTGGGGAACAACTGCCATCTTGTTTTTAGCCAAAAATTCCTGTGCAATGTAAGCTGTATGCGGTCGTGTGTTGTCATGGTGGAGTACCCAGTCATTCGTGTGCCACTTCTCTGGACGTTTTCTCCTCATGTTCTCCCTCAAACGCCTTAGAACATCGCGATAGAACTCTTTATTGACTGTCTGACCAGGAGGGACGAACTCCTTATGAACAATCCCGTCAATAAAAAAAAAACAGATCAACATGGACTTAATGTTGCTCTTGACTTGTCAAACTTTTTTTGGCCGAGGTGAAGAAGGGCTCTTCCATTGCGACGATTGCTGCTTGCTTTCAGGGTCATAGCCATAAACCCAACTTTCATCACCAGTGACAACCTTCAAAAGAAAGTCTGGATCCTCTTGAAGCTGTTGCTGAAGTTCCCTGCAGACTTCAAGCGATGCTGCTTCTGTTCATTTTGCAGCAGTCGTGGCACAAACTTTGCCGCAATCCTCCTCACGTTCAGTTACCCTGACAAAATTCGTTGACATGTACCATAACTTAGTCCCAAGGTGTTACAGAGGTCTTGGATGGTCAGTCTATGATCTTGCAGAATCAGATCCATAACTTTCGCGACATTTTCTGGTGGTTTGCCCGTTGACTGCCGTCCCGAACGATCGTCATCATCAGTCAATGTTCGGCCATTTTTAAAACACTCATACCAGTTGTAAGTTTGTGTCTGGCCTAAACTGTTTTCACCAAAAGCTTGCTTCAACATTTGGTGCGTTTCTGCAGCAGTTTTCCCAAGTTTGAAACAAAACTTTATACAGGCATGTTGCTCTCTCAGGTCAGCCATTGCAAAACCGCAAACTCACAGACACACAACAATGGAAATACGTTCACCACACATCATCAAACTGATGTCTTGATGGATATGGGGCAGAAAGGTCAATCTGCTGAAATGAAGTGTACAGGACATGAACAATGTCTACATTTGTTTCAGCCTGACAAGTCTGCAATGGCAGAATACAGCACTTGATCAGGCCATCAGATCAAGCACCAAGGGACCAAAGTACCAGGCAAACCATCAGGATGCATGGACCAAGTTGTCAAAGAGGCAAAGGAAATAAAATTAAATACATATATTATAAACAGAGTGGAAAGGTTCAAACTCAGCACCAAATTATTAGGAGGGCACTCCAGCATACATACGTCAAGAAAATCCCAACAAGAGAAACACAGGGAAGAGCATGCTACAGAGACCAAATAATTAGTTGGGACATCGGGTTAAGTACACGTAAGAGTGAGAGGTAAGAGATGGCTGAATGACTGCACAATCTGACTCTACCCTTCTGCTGCACAGTACACCAGTAGGATGAGGCACCGGCTTGACAGACTGGTATAGTGATGTATCATCATTTAGTGCATCAACCCTGATGATGGAGATCTTTGAAACATTGGGTAACTCAACATTGACATGGCTGCTTGCCTGAGAGGATATTCACACATCCTTTATACACTCTGCTTGTGTATGATCATATTATAAAATGGATCTAGGTTTATGACTACGAAAGAGTGAACTGGATTCAACTTTCTCAGTACAGGGTTAAATTGCAGGCTTCTGTGAACACTACAATAGTGTTCCATGAAATCCACTGTTTTCCACATATGGCTGAATTAAGACCAGGCATCATATACCATAAATCAAGACTATGGCTATCTCAAATACAGTGAAACTGAAGACATAGTGCGGCTTATAACTATGATTTCATTACAGCAACAAATATTAATGGAACTGCCCATTTCTTAATGTTATGGACATGGAAAGCCACTGCATTAAATAAGGACTTTTCTCCTGCAACTTTGCCATAATGAATGATTCCTAAATAGCCACTACTGTTTTTGCACCAACTGTACTTGGTGTATTGCTTCCAAAGTTATTTACAGCTAGCAGCATATTAACCCTCCCTCTAAGCCTCACCCTTGTCTAGGGAAAGTTCTCTGTGTTCTGGTTCATGACAACTGCAAAATTAAGGAAAACCTTAATTTTGGCAATGAAATGGAAGACTTGAATAATGAAGCTTGACATAATATGCCTGTGTGAAGTCAGCATCAAAAGGCAAATTAGGAAGGGAAGAAACGGTTTAGGATGACAATGAACAAAACACAGTGTTATGTGAAGTAAATTAAAGGCCTGTTTTTCATGTGACAAAGCTAAAGTTGCAACATTTGCACCATGGCATTGAATGTCATGACATCTACATTAATGTTGGGGAATCAAACTGAGTTTCACTTCTGGTGTAACATGTCATGACTTTATCTTTCAAAAAACATTTCACAGTCATGACCACAAAATGTCACAACTTCAAATGTCATGTGAAAATGAGCCTCAACATTGTTCTTTCATTGATGAGTACAAATCAGTGAAATTTGTCTCAGTCTTGGTTTGTGACTGGTATACACCTAATAAGGTCATCATGTGGTGTCAAAGGCACAGGGCGCTACAGATGGTATGGACCATACTCTTATGTTATAAAGGGTTGTTTTCATTACAAATGCAATAACTTCAATGTTACTTAAACTTAATTTTATTATGGTAGACAAACAAATAATTGTGGGTTCACACAGTTTACCTGCCACTAACATAACATGAATTTTACAGCTTAGCAATTACATACAATGGCTGTTCCACAATCATTTCTTAAGTATGCAATGTCAGGAGACTGTGTGTATTCCAATTATGACTCTTAGCATGACCCATAATATGTCAGGCATTTTAATGTGCTGGTCTCTTACTAAAGTTCAAGGCATTGATTCTTGCATGCATGCACATGCAAAGAACTGTGAGCAGAATGCAGTTTGGACTTATGCCCATGCAGCAAACAGTGGGTGGTACTTTCACTCAAATGACACCAACCAATTAGCAGTTGGTTGTGGGTAGAATGGGTTAACTAAATTTAAGAAAATCTTTAACTCTTCAGTTCAAATAATCTGATGTTGATGAGAATTTTGAATTATTCTTTGTTATTTTCATATCCCCACCAAATCATTCTAGAGAATAAATATTACCAGTCACATTATTATGCAAACCTTCGTGCTATATTATATTATATATGACTGGAAGCTAGGGGAAAGAACTGCAGTTACACACACTTGAACTGTTTTGGGATATTATGAGTTTAGTCATGAAGTGTCTACACACTATTAAAATCACTGCCAAGGCACTACATTCTATGTTCCCTGACTTCTAACATCACCTCTCCTTTTTCCTGACTCATAAAACTCTATGACTCCATGTCTCACATGGTTCATTCCTTCTGTCTGAAATGGGATATTGTCTTACCCAGAGCTTCTTTGTTCTCTCTGTGTACCATGACTCCAACAGGGGCAGCTGTAAACTATTTTTGAATCACTGAGTTTGTTACACTGTATAATGCAGCATATTTTTTTTATTTGTAAATTCCTGTAATGTCTAATGTCAAGGCTTGACTGTATATGGGGAGGAAGAACAGATTTTGGAACAGATCATTTTATCATGTAATTCTCTTAGTGGGGGGTGGAATCCAACTGAATCCACTTGGCATGGCGGCAACTGATTGCTCTATTGTACCTACCCGGGTGATTATGATGATGGAGAATTTGGTGGAATGAAGATTGGCAGGGGAAACCGAATTACTCGGAGAAAACCCTCCCCAGCACCACTTTGTCTGCCACAAATCCCACTTGACCAGACCTGGGATCGAACCAGGGCCATCACGGTGGGAAGCCAACAACTAACCGCTTGAGTTATGGCGCAGCCTTTTATTACATAAGCCACTGTAAGGACTGACTGCCCTGATAAGGATACACACCTTGCACACTATACTTACTTATTCAGCTCTCTTGCAGTAGTATCTGGTGTCTCTTTCTTCATATCAGCCACTTCAATGAATGACTTACTCGGCTGTACTGGGCTGCTGAAGGCATTAGAATGCAACCTTAACCTCCTCCTGCTGTATGTTTTCAAAATGCGACATTTGCCAGGGCCACTGTCACCTTCCGTACTTTGCTGTTCCACATTCCTACAAGTGTCAAGCCATTTGGCTGATGTATCAGAGTCTGTCTCAGTATTTGGCTGTTCGCAAAACCCACCACCATAACTCTCATCACTATATATACTTGAGTACTGTTTCCTGTGGTACACACTGGAATAAGTATCGTCCTCATGGATGTCAGTCCTGACATCAATGTCGTTTGACTGTTTGCTCGTTGATGGAACACTGCTGGAGAGATGACTCTTTGAATACACATGCTGATTCAAATCCATCTTAGAGACAATACAGAAAGGTGGATTTTCTGTGCTACAAATATTAACACCAGAGTCTCTTCCTGAACAGTCCATATCTACTTCACATAATGCTGAACATAAACCAGGTTCAATAAATGGAACACACACATCTGGTTTCTCCTCAGCAGCAACAGTTCCATAGTCCATACTCTCTGCCACACATTCAGTGACAATCTTGTCAGCATTCTCTCTGTTGTTACATTTCTCCTTTATTTCTTCGACTTCTGATACATTTCGTTCTTCCCATGCATTACTCACCTCTTCTACGTGAGGCAGAACCTGTTCCATTAGTAACTTTTTGTTAACTGGACAACTTTTGGCCCTGGTAACAGGACATGAAGTACTGTAAAGATGTGACTGACCACTGTTGGAGTCATGAACATTCTGCACCCTATCACCACTGCTGTAACCAAGAGTTTCTCCTGCCTCAACTTTGATATTGTCAACAGAAACTAGCTGTATGTCTTTATCATCTGACTCATTTCCATCGGATGCATTCAATGTGATGATGAAGGAATCTTGTAAATGAGAACTCTCTTTATCCACTTGACTTTTCAATTTAGCAGGTTTCATCAGTTCTAGAGATGGAACGACTGACTCTGTGTCATAATTTGTAGAAGAACTAGCAGATAATAATTTTATGTCATATGATGATTGTTCTGTGGAATGGGACCTTTCTATATGAGCTTGGAGTTTCTCTTCTGTTTCAACAGCGCCACCACAGTGTGCACATTTGTAAGGGCACCGATATGCTCCTACATCACCACCCTGGAACAATAAAGTGAGCTAAATATTTTATGGTTATCTGTATACAGTGTATTACTACAAGTATGGTCAATAACAAAGTGTTGTGCAGGAGCAATACTTAATGCAGTTATTTTCATAATGTTACTTCCAGGAAAACCCTACAGTAATACATGAACTGTATGCACCATGTCAGTATTTCAAATACTCTGTTACAACATATGACTCCTGTAATATGCATCTCCCATCTGTCTTGTTCCTATGGCTGCAATTTGGCTGAACCTTGTGTGGAAGAAAACATGTGACTGACACGATGTGCAGTCAGTATGATCAGTGCAAAAGCTGGAATTTTAGCATTTTTGAGCACAACTGAACCCCATGCACACCCAGATAGGGACATACAGGTAACAGAAAGATCAGGATGAGAGCTAATGATGAGATGAGAAGTGTTCAGGCCTGTTCATGGTGGAATCTCAACATGTCTGGAGGGAGTGTGGACAACAAGTAAAGCCCTATAAGTTCACAGGTCTCCCAACTAAGATCAAAACCTAGAATATCTTGATCACAAAACAGCAATCCTAACCACAATAACAGTATACAGCTGGAGACAGTGTTCATACTTAAGGGCATAACACAACAGGATCTTCAGCAAGGCTGAATCTAATTACAGTGATTAGTCACAGTTACAGAAGATGAAACTTACAGAGCAGTCATCAAAGCAACCTTAGTCACATACATGACAGATGAAGTTATGGAGCAGTAACACAAAACAACTGTAGTTGCACACAGCAGATGGTCGTTATAGAGCAGTAACAGAAAAAAAAATCGTAGCCACACACACACACAGCAGAAGGACATTATGTAGCAGCAGCACAGAACCTTAATAATACACACACAACAGATGGATGCTATGTAGCAATAACACAAAACAACCTTAGTAACACATACAGCAGATGGATGTTATGCAGCATTAACATGAGAAGACCCACAGCAACACGGTAGGAGGACATTATGTAGCACTAACAGAAAACAACCTCAGTAACACACACAGCAGATGGATATTACGGAGCCGCACACATGGCAGATGGACTTCATGGAGCACCAACACAAAACAACTGTAGTCACACACATGACAGGTGGACATTATGTGGCAATAACACAAGACAACTACAGTTACACATATGGTAGATGGATGTTACAGAGCAGTAAGACAAAACAGCTAGTCACACACATGACACATGGTTTTTATGGAACAGTAATACAAAACAACTGCAGTCACACACATACAGCAGATGGATGTTACCGAGCAGTCATACAAAACCACCTTCATCACATGTATGGAGAACATCTTATGTTCAGGAACTTGTGTTGTGACCTGCCACTTGACAGTCAGTAGTTGCTGGATTACATTACACAATATCACAAATTCCCCATTGTCTTCTCACCAGTGATGACAATTATTCTGGGTTTTATACATATAAAACAAGTTTTCTGACTATGCACAGAACTCAGAACTCCTGACTGTTACAGTTCAGAGCACACATGTGGTAAGAAGAAAGGCACATTTCATTATACCAAGTCACTAGCACTAGCACTAGCCCTGGTATATAGTATTTACAACTTCTTCTGAAGCTTCTAACTGCATGACAGTTCAAAGTACTTGTCTGGGTGTAAAACTGGTTTCTTACTGAGCGTCTTGCAGTATCCACAACAGACCATTTCCCTCTCAGCCAACAAAATGTGGTTCACTAGGTCGGCCTCTGAATGGGATGCCTTGCTCAAACTTCTGCATTCTTCCACTATAGCTGGCCACCTTTCTTTTGGACAGTCAAGGTCATTCCATCACCACCTAGTATTGAGGTGTATGGCTACCCCTTTCTATCTCACTACAGACAAAGTCTCAGGGAGGTAAAAATAATGGGATGGGTGATGGCCCTGAAAAGCTAAAAGAAATATCCCCAACTACAGTGATCATTCTTTCATGCACTTCATATTGGTTCAAGGTCTCTTACTATCATTCCTGAACTATGAAACACAGTTCAAAGCACAGGTTCCAATAAGCATTCAATTCCAAGCAAAGGCAGAGAATTTCTCTTCTCCACAATGTCCAGATTGACCCTGGTGCCCACCCAAACTTCCTAGTAAGTGGGTAACATGATCTCTTTCCTAGGAATAAAGTGGCTGGGATCTGAAAGTGACCATTCACCTCCATCCAACGTTGAATGCATGGAGCTACTCCTCCACTCCCATGTATCTTGATGATGTGCTCAATTAAACACAAGGACAGTTTCACCTTTCACTTTTCAGTACAGACTCTGAATACCACAGCCCACAGGACAAAGCAGTTTGAGATTTTGATTTGATGAGATGGCTCAAGCAGTAACGTTTCTGTCTTGTATTCAAGAGCTGCCCATTAAAATCTCAATGACTACGCTCATTACGATATTGTGTGGCTTTCCTCAGACACTCCAGGCAAATGCCATACATGAGATTAAGTTATGACTGCTTTGTTCCAAATCCTTCTTCAGTAATTAGTGCTACCATTACATGCTATAGAGTCTGAGTTGCTGGCATCATCATCAGACAACCACAAACAGATCAATTAGTAACACACCATCGTCTTATATATGCTAATAACAGGAATTCCACCTTATAAGTGCACCCACCTTCCTCTGTGAGGCAGGCAGGGACAAGGAATGTTAAAGCCCATAAACGGGGGCATTAAAATAACTGCAACAATTAACCCTTTCACACTCAGCCTATTTTCCAAGTACCTGGCCTAAAACACTAAGGCGAATCTGGCTCAATTTCCAAGTCTCACTTAAAAAATTCACTAGAAATAAAATTTTCATCAGACACATGAAAAAATCACACTTATTCACTATAGGCAGCAGATTTAAACAAAAACAGCCTACAAGTGCTAACACTATAAATAATTTGAAAAATGAAAACTGAAAGAAATATAGAAACTCAAAATTTATATTATTTATGCAAAAAATAAAACTGTCGTTTTGATCTTCTGTTCTTATCACCAAGCCTGTTAGAAAGTGAATATTTTTCTGTAAATTTTTATAGAAGATTTATGCATGAAGAGCTCTCTGGTCCGGAACTACATCACACAATGTAAAACAGTGCATATGTACCTTTTGCAGTTAGCACCTATGTTTAGGGAAGCACGCTCAATGGAACCTCTCAATGCATCTGGTGCATAATGTTCTGGGTTTCTGTCTCCTCCCCCTTCTGTTGCGGACAATGCCCTGGGGCTCTTTCTTGTCAGAGAGTTTTCTGAATCCTCATGGTCCCTGAGAATCACTTGCTTCAGCACTGTCCTTCAGCAAAAACTACTCCTCCCCCAAGCTCTTGATTCTGGACACTGAAGTTGTACTTGATTTCCAGTTTGCCAGGCCCCTCTAGTTTTTGTGTACTGACTGTAGCTATTCAACACCATCCTGGCTACAATACTGACAGCTACCTTTTTCCAATAAACCGCTGTCTGCGTTTCATCCAAATAAGTGTACAGCATCATGTCTGAAGAGTAGATGCCGCCCATAAACTTGATGTAGGATGTGATAATTTTTGGTTTTATTTGTGGATTGCTGCCATTTCTTCCCTGTACATCTTCTTGGGCTGTGGTGTGGCTGCAGAGAATGATGACAGGATTTGTTTGTGATTTCTTCTCATGGAAAACAATGTGAGAAGGGGACCAGATCTACAATACATATTTTGTCCAACTGCAGATTTGTTCTTGAACTGCTGGGTTAAGAGTTTCCTATTCCTCCCAACAGTTCCAGTGATGTAGTTGCACAGTTGATGTACAAGGGTTGGATAAAAAGTAGTGGCAACACTGCTGTAACATGAAAGATGTGCGTCAAGTGGCACTAACACCGTTTGTAGCTGATAGCAGAATTTTAGTCGAAGTAGTGCAGTCAGTGGCTCTGGTTGTTTCACTGAGTTGCACTGTGCATCGTCTTGAAGTGCACGGGCCCAGTTCAAGCACCCTAACATGTTTACGAAACAAGAACAATGCATAAAACTGTCATCAGGGACTGCAAGAAGCATGTGGTGATGTTGCTTTGCCATATCGCACAGTGGTACGATGGGTGAAATTGTTCCGTGAAGGGAGGGACGCCATTCAGGATGACCCCATGTTGACAACCACAACGACAGACAGTAAATGCTGCCTACTACTGCAATTCCCTGTGACAACATTTGTTGGAAACGAACCCCCTTCATGACAATGCAAGAGCTCATACTGCTGACGCTGTCAAGGTTCTCCTTCGCCACTGGGGATGGGAGATACTGCAACATCAGCTATACTCAGCCGATATGAGTCCGTGCGATTATGATCTCTTTGCCAAAATGAAAGAACCACTGTGACGGACATGTTACAACACAAGAGAGATTATTCGTGCTGTAGGGCATTCACTGCTGGACATCAACAGAAGTGGACGCACTTCCACAAATTTGGCAGAAGGTGGTACACATGGGGGGGGAGCAAATATATTAAAGGAATGTGTGTGTTTACCTCAGGTAATAAAGTCATTTCAGAACTAGAGAGGTGTTACCACTACTTTTTATCCGACCTTTGTAGATGGTGGACTAGTGGAACAGACCTGAAATAGTTGTCAAGGAAAACATGGTAGCCTTTGTTGAAGTGCTCTCCAATCTCAAGAAGCTTTTTCATGATGGTATACCCCGGGCCATTTTTGGATGTTGCCCTTGTCTTCCTGTGACCTGGCCCCTCTGTATGTGAAAAACCTCAGGCAGTAGTTGGACACAGAATCGCACAACATCCACAATGTGATTCCACAGCTGTGGTGGTGCTCGGGCAAATACTGCATGAAACTGGTTTTGTTTTTGGTACCCAATGGGCTTTTGTCCACACTGATTTCTTCATGAGGGAGTGTAGTGATACCTGAATACACTGTCTGCATGGTCCACAAGAGGTTGGTACCTTGTACGGGAATCGTAGTCTGGTTCTCCGAGGCCTGGCAATCCTTCATTGTTGACAAGATGGAAGCACAGCAAGTGGGAAAAGCAATGCTTGGTAAACACTTTCCAAAACCATGAGGTGGCTTGGGAACAGAGTGGACTAGTATGTTGCTATAGTTGGCTTTTTGATGATGCCCATATTTAGAACACAGGCCAGGAATCCTTTCATCTCATACATAGTAATTTTGGTCTAGTTCTTTAGCAGAGTGGGAACATTATGTGCTTTACTGCTCATCACTTGCTATGCATATCTATTGGATTAGGTAACTATGAGGCTAAGGATCAAGTCCGTGAAGAAGAGATGGAAGCAAGCAATAGGAGGATGCATATGCTTAGGTCCACACAGTTCTTGGAATTGGAAAGGAAGAGGGATAGGCTGCTCAGGTGACAGAATTTCCTGTAGTTTTCATCATCCATGTCATCCTATTCACTGTCAGACAGAGCGAGCAGCTGGGGTGTGGCATGTGGGGGCATCTTCTTCTTCACTTGTATCATCAGTGTCACTATCACTGCCAATTGTATCTAAATATTCTGACATGTCAGAGTTATTTAACCTAGAATGTGGATAGCTAAAAATGTAAAGTAACTAATTATATATATTAACAACTCTGAAAAACGTATATAAAATATAAACAATATATAACTTTATTATAAAACAAAATACTGCCATTAAACTATGACATATTCACAGCAAAGAAACCAAAACCACAGACGAAGAAGGCATTGAACCACCATGTTAACATGTGAGCTCAATATAATGTGGCATATTTGCTCTATGCAGGAACTGTTGAGTCACAGAGGCCTCGGGGCACACTCACAACGTGAGAATTGCAGATTTAAAGCGTGATTTAGATGCAGCGGATAGATCAGCTGCCTGAGTGTTCTGACCATTACATAACACACTGATGGATCGGCGCGCTGAGCGTATAAGGGTTAGCCTTCTACTGGAGACTGCAATCCGCTAAGGGATTTTCCTGCCTTATTTATGAGACATTACTGAGATGTACTTACACCATTACAAATGCCATAATGTTTGATCATCTCATCCACTGTCAGAGCGAGGTAGCTGCAGTTCTGGAAAAGGCATTTCACATAGCCTTTTGACTCGATGGCAATGTTCCAAGACACTTTGTGGACTTTAGAAAAGCTGCGTCTCTTTAGAAGCAATTTCACTTTGGGCTGCTCTTGCCTAAAATACAATTGATATTCTTAATAAATATACTATCAATACATACATATTAACTTTGTGGGGGAGTCAACAATGTCACCTTCATTCATGAATGAAATAAGTATTCAATGCAATGTGGAAGTTTCAGTGCAGAATACTGGACATTATACTGAACAATGATCCTCTCAAGAGCTTCATGAGCAGCACACAACTCAGCAGGGATGAACAAGACAAGTGAACCAGTAATGACGTGCAGCAGTACCACTGCCATCACTATGCCAATAAGAAACGTGATGCTGAAAATCTCTAATAAGAACCAAAACTGAGGCCACTTATCTGCTAATACTGGACTTCTGTCCCTCTGATAGCGAAACAACCACTTCTACTACACCTCGCACACTATAATATTCTGTAACTTAAAATACTTTTATGATTTTATTATGACTACAGACAGGATTTGGACTGGTAATCGGATTTACTGAACTCTTACAACTCATAACTACAAGTAAGGAGCTCTCACTGTTCTACACACTTCATAGATCACTACAGGACACACTAGGTCTTCTCGGTCTGTTATATAGTCTTCACTAGCTGTTGCTTGGTAGTGGCTTCCAATGGCAGGCACTCAAATTCCTGAGTTCCCGAACAGTCCCCTGGCCTCAGCTACCAGTTTCTCACAGCAACAGCTCACAATGATCGAATTGCATCAGTCCTCTTGACTCATTCACTCCACTGACTGACTGAAATACCTAACTAGCCCTGCTTATAACATCTCAGTATAGACTGCACAGAAAACACTGTTCCTCTGTTGCAGTGCAACTGTTGCTTTCGTGTTCGTTGGGGTGACCATGTAATCACCACTTAGCCACTGCCTAGGAATGGCCGGTGTTTGCAGAGTCATTACTTAGCAATGGCTGTTGTATGGTTGCTCATTTTGTGGGCGCTGCCTACCAAAGAGTCTACACACAACACTATTGTCATGGGCTTTGGATTGGTAATCGAATTTACTGTAGTCTTACAATTTGTAACTACAAGTAATTATAGCAATTTCACAAGTTTATGCACTTTACAGTTCATTACAGTACAAGCCAACTCTTCCCAGCCTCCTGTCTTCACCAGTCATTGCTCAGTAATGGCTCTCAACACTGTAGATTCCTCTCCTTCCATGTTCATGTCCTTATGGCCTGCAACTATCTCACAGCTCCTCATGACCACAACTTGCTCACTATTTACGCCTTCCTACAACTCATTACTACTTGCCACCACTCAATACCACAGGCTAGCACTCACTTCAGACTCAGAACTCGTCTGTCTCAAAGCTCCAATTGGCTCCCCTTACATAGTTTCTGCACAGATTGCATAAAAAACACAGCCTCCAACAGTTCCTCTATTGCTAAGTTCATGTAGCTGTTGCTGCAGCCACGTGATCTGATTGCCCTTGAAATGTGTCTAGTGAGTCATGTCCCTGCAACAGCCATTTTTTTTGACTCCACAATTCTGCATCCAGAGCTACACACAATCCTCAAAAAGGTGTAAAAGGACTGTTTCCAGAAGTGGCAACAACATTGGAAGTGGTGCATGAATGCAGGAGGGGAGTACTTTGAAGGTGATAAGGCTCACTCAGTTGCAGGCATGTCTGAAAAAGTTATAAAAAATAGTTCTGAAACTTTATGAACAGACCATGTACTGTTGTAGCATGTAGACCTGCTGCTGAGTAATGACTTAGCAAACAATGTCCGTTGCTAGGCAACAGATTCCTAACATGCACCAATGGACTAACTAGAAAGCAGTGTTTTCTGCATGGTCCGTGTTGATGGCTGCGCATGCAAGAATGGACACAGCAACAGAGGAACAGTAGTTTCTGTGCGGTCCATGCCTAGATGTTATAAGCAGGATAATTAGTGAGAGTTAGTTACTGGTGTCGAGTGAGTTGGTTGGTGAGTAAGTGAATTAGTTAAAGAGGACTGCTGCGGTTCAGTCACTGTGTGCCTGTAGTGTTCGAAGATGGTAGCTGAAGCATGTGGATAGTTTGAGAACCCAGAGTAAGGGGAATATCTGGCACTGGAAGGTTCTACTGAGCAATGGCTACTGAAGACGTGACTGTGAACACTAGTGTGTACATGATAGTGGTTTACAAAGTGTAGTCACCAGTTGTAGAAGAGTACAATAAATCTGATTACCAATCAAAACCCCATCGATAATCACTCTAACACATGACAACAGATTGGTTAATTCTGTTTCACTTGCTGTATGCAAGGATGGAGTGTACCAAAACAGGCCAGGTGATGTAAATCTGCAGTTTGTGAACCCAGTTTCATACACAAGAGGATACAATCCTTCACTCAATCCAATGGCACTACAGCAAACCATTACACAAAATCTTCATTAATACAGATTGGGGGGGGACCATGTCTTATCAACTCAAGAGTTACAGGAAAGCCAAGTTCACTGGCTTCTATAAGTGGCACAGAATGCATGCTGGTTTCCTACAACCAGTGGCACAGAATGCAGGCTGGTTTCTATTACTGCTTGCACAGAATGTATGGTGGATTCTACGACCACTGGCAGAGTGGACGTTGATTTCTATGACCACTGACACAGAATGCATGCTCATTTCTTTCACTTATAGTAGTTACAGTAAAGAATGCATCCAGACTTCAACGATCAGAAGTGCAGAATGAACCTAGGCTTCTATGATCACTGTCAGAATGTATCCTGGTTTCTAATGCTGGTCTAATGCTGTATGATAATAATGAAAACCTTCCATTCATTTCTGTACGCCATGTTTATATGATGTTCTAGTAAACAACGCACTGAAACCCAGGTCTCTGCCACCAACTCAGCAAAAAGCTAAGTCTAGGCATTCTGACAGTAACAGAAATCTTACCATTCATTTTTTTCCATGATCTGCTGCAGTGTCTTTCTCTGGAAGCCGTCACTAGGATGTGATCTGTGCATGTGAGCCTTCAAATCGTCTTCTGTACTCAAACGATGCATGCATATTGGACATGCATGAGCTGCAACAGATGGCTTCTGCAAAACATACATACTGCACTGCACAACACAGCACAACAGCACTTCTCATGGAATGAAATCAAATGCAAAGACATTGGGGGGGGGGGGGCAAAAACCNATGCAAGTAATGCCACTTTTCTAACTTTACTTTTTTCTTAAAGGGGAAGGGACATTTTATAGCATGATAGCTATATAAAAGATTATATAAACAAAACTTTTTATCTTGTATGTTTGTAAAGGTGCTACACCTACATGATTTCAGTACCTAATTCAACAATCTTAGTACAAATTAAGCATATAAACACTGTACTGCTTTAGGTTTTCATATTGGTGAAGACTATATTGTTGTCTCCTACATCATGACACTGTGTACCTGGGTATAAATGCTTCAAACAAATACAATGACTCTCAAATTTCATCTTAATCAAACAATTGTGTATGATAGCAATTTGATAACTGATAACTGAATGTCACGCTCACAAACCCTGTCAGCACCAAAACAGTACGAAGGAAACTCCACAAGCAGGGTATTTCTGGACGAGCTGCATTTCCAAAGCCACTCATCAGTGATCAAAATGCCACTAAGAGGACAGTGTGGTGCCAAAGTCATAAAACCTGGACTATGGAGCAATGGAAAATGGTCATTTGGTCGGATGAGTCCACCTTCACAGTTTCCGACTTCTGGCCAAGTTTACTTCTGGAGAACGCCATCCCAAGCTTACAATCCAGATCTGCTGCCAAGAGTGAAACATGGCGGGGGTTCGATCGTGGTATGGGCAGCCATATCGTGGTATTCTGACGCACCTATCATTACCCTGCAAGGTCACGTCACTGTCAATGACTATGTGATCATTTTGGGCGACCAGGTCCATCTCATGGTGCAAACATTGTTCCCTAATGGTGATGCCATTTACCAAGTAAACAATGCCTGTGTTCACATAGCTCACATCGTCCAGGACTGGTTTTCTGAGAATGAAGATGAAGCGTCACGCCTGCCATGGCCCCCACAATCGCCAGATATCAATATTATTGAGCCTTTATGGTCTGTTTTGGAGAGCAATCTGCATGTGTGCTATCCACCTCCATCATCGATAACAGAACTTACAATGTTTTTCAGGAAGAATGGTATAAGATTCCCTGGCAAATCATACAGGACCTCTATTTATCCATTCCAAGGAGACTGCATGCAGTTCTGCAAGCCAGAGGTTGTCCTACACCATTTATTCACAGTAATGTGTTTTTTGTTGGGTGTTTCCATATTTTTGTCCATCCCCTGTACATGATCACCACAACTAGACTGTCACAGACAAGAGGGTCAACATTTTTTGAGAATGTGCCTAAAACATTTGCAGCACTACTGATTGACAGACTCCTGTAGTTTTGCAAAACAATGATATTTCTTCACTTTATATAGTAACATCACCTTATGATGTCATGGTGTCTATGGATCTGTCCACACCATGTAGTAAATTTAAAAAAAAAGAATGATTTTAATGACACTTGGTTTGAACATCTTGCCCCTGTATGCTTCGCAATTCAGCACTTCTTAGTTTGCTACCATCAGTAGCCCCAACAAGAGCGCCCTACAAATTTCCAAGATGGAAGCCCACTTAATGTAAGGTCCTGAAATGTGTATGATAACAGATATTTGAAAAAAAAATGTGACACCTGTTGATGCAAGTTTCTGCAGAAGATAAAACACTTGAGACAATAACCAAAATCCATTAGAGGAGTAAGACAAGTAAAATTTGGCATAGAAAAAATAAGCATGACCATGAATTTTCATAAAATACTGTATAGCACAATTACAAACATGATGATGGTTCCAGTCTATGAAGTTTAAGAGGTTATATCCAACCACAATGTGAACACATGGAAATTATGAACATAAATGGATTCAAAAGCATGATTATTAATTTATTGTTCCAGCTAGTACCACCATATTGGGTTAAGCTCTTAAAGGAGAGTAGGCATTGCAAGTTTTTTCTTAACGCCTTATTTAAAAAATAACTAACCATTATTAATTTTGTTCCCCCATAAAAAAGTTCAGTCAACAGCATGTCCTCCCATATGTAACACAAGAAGTGAACAATGGCAACTTTCTCATGACACAATGTTAGTTATCAGGTCATGACTTCATAAATGACACAATGCTGTGAGTCATGACTTTCCTAAATATGGGATGCTAGCTGTGAGCCCCTTAACCACATCCAGGACTGTCAACTTAATGTATCTGGACAGACAAAGAACATGACTATTGTACAATTACTTACCACAGCAGTATAGCAATCTTATAGTCGTTGTTTACATTCCCTAGAGTACGGACAACACTTTGTAAGATGAGGCACTGACTAAACAATTAACACTAATTTACTACATCTACATCACGAGCCTCCTATAAAATCCTATATATAAAAAGAAAATACACAGAATATTCCAATTTGTCCATGGGAATGTAAGAAAATACAAAACCAATGACTGATTCGATATTATAAAACATCAGTTAAAATTTTATTCTTGTTTTATATTATAAGTTCTGTTTTTTTATATAATCTGATTTATTGTATTTTCTACGTCAAGTGTTTTATATGTTTAATAGTATTGTATCTAGTGTAATAGTACTGCAGTTCAGTGGTGTATGTATGTTAACCATGTATTGCCTGATGATAGCTACTGATACCCGAAACATGTAGTAGAGCTGTAGCAGGGCACTGACCTTGATATTTATTGTGTTGTGATGGTTAATAAAGAAGTTGAATTTTATTTTCACTCATCAACAGTAGTTATATGATAAGTCCTTCTTCTCCCTAAAATTATCTTTGTCTAATATTTTGATGTCCAACATAGAAAACATTTTTACATTACTTATAAAATGTGACAGTGTGGATTTTTACAATGGAAACAATTTCTAGACAAAAAGAAAATCCACATTTGTTGCTGCTTACTAATTCCATGGCCATGACCTGAACGAGCAACATGCACAGTCTGCTGATCCCTCTTATTCTGAAACCATCATCACAGAATAGAAAGTTCTTCCCTGAACCTTATCATAAGCCAGTAAAGATGTATCTTCCTGGGCTACATCAGCAGAAGCTCAGGGGAACCTATGTGACAAGGTAGGAAAGAGAATACTCATTGCCTTTCTACATTTTGACACTATATAGAATGAAAGAAGCTACTGGACTAGTGTAAAAATTCAGGGAGCCATGTAATGTACATCCCCAGTTCTTAAAGCTCGGAGGGGTAAGCTGCTCAGATTCTGGAATATGCGCTTCCTACTTGACAAGGGTAGGATAAAAGGGATGGACAATGTGACTTCACAGACTGCTAGCTGTAAATAACTTTGGAAGCAAAACTGGAAGTACAGCTGGTGCAAATTGATGGAAAAACAGTGGCAGTGAGTCAGGAATCGCACATTATAATGAAGGTGCTGGTGAAAAGTCAACACTTTATTCAACAGTTTTCCACATATGCAAGCACACACACCACACACACTATTAACCCTTTCGCGCGGTCATTTAAATTCCGCGGCCGTCTCTCCGGCGGTAATATATTCAGCCGTCCATTTAAATTTTGCTCGAAAATGATTTATTCATCATTGTTCTTAAATTATATGAGATAGGAACATGAAACTTTCACTAAAATGATCTTAAAAGGTGGTTTTATAACCTTACCTTATAATATGAGCGCCCTGTATCTCGGCAATGGAAGCAGGTTGTTTAGTATTTGAGCAGTGAATGGTACACCTTGAAGGATGAAACTTTCACTAAAATGATCTTAAAAGATGGTTTTTATAACCTTACCTTATAATATGAGC